GTCACTGCGGGTTGCGGCTCGTAAGCCTAACAACACGACTGGAAGCTCGGTCACCCAGTTACTATTGCAGTTTAAACGTGCCGTAAGTGACACTTTTAGTGCTCGATGCCATCGCTCAACCATGCCGTTACTCTGCGGATGATAAGGTGTTGTTCGCATTTTAAAAATACCTAGGTACTTCATTAGCTGACTGAAAAGATCACTCTCAAATTGTCTACCCTGGTCGCTAGTAAGCTTCGAAGGGCTTCCAAATCGAGATATCCAGCCTTCAAATACTACCTTGGCTACTGTTTCAGCTGTAATATTGTGAACTGGAAAAGCTTCCGGCCATCCGGTACAACGATCTATCATTGTTACGCAGTATCTATGTCCATCTGCCGATGTAGGCAACGGGCCTACAATATCTATATGAACATGTTGGAAACGGTCTGCACGCTCAAACTCTCCTAATCCTGCTATCGTATGCCTATTAATTTTTGATCTCTGGCAACTAAAACAGGTTCTAGTCCAACTCGCTATATCCTTAAGCATATTAGGCCAAAAGAAACGTTGTTTAATTAAAGTTCTGGTAGTCTTAACACCGGGGTGACTTAAATCGTGAACCGAATGAAAAGCAATTTTCCTGAATTTATCTGGTAAATATGGTCTAATTCTGTTAGATGAAATTTCGCAATAAATATATTTTTCGCAGTCTGGCAATAATATTTGTTTAAATTGTAATTTACTATCTGTTGCTTGCAACGCTTGCTGTAGGTATTCGTCACTAAGTTGTTGCTCAGCTATTTCTCTAAAATCGAGTAATGTAGGACAACTGATCGTTTCTATCCGCGAAAGTGTATCTGCGACTACATTTTGCTCACCGCTGATATGACGAATATCGGTGGTAAACTCGCTAATGTAAGATAATTGACGAATTCTTCTAGGGCTTTCTTTGTCGTTATTTAATTTTGAAAATGCAAAAACAAGAGGCTTATGGTCAGTATAAATAGTCAGTACACGGCCTTCCACTAAATTTTTAAAATATTTGATAGCCATAAATACTGCTAACAATTCCCTATCATAAGTAGAATATTTCGTTTCAGCTTGTGAAAGTTTTTTTGAAAAATACCCTAATGGTTGCCAATTGTTGTTATTTTTCTGTTGTAATACAGCACCTACACTAGTATCCGAGGCATCGGTCATCAGCGCTAAATTAGCATCTGGTAAAGGATAAGACAGTGTAGCGGCGCTTTGCAAGCTTTCCTTACACTTCTTAAATGCTTCGACAGCCTTATCAGTCCACACAATCAAAGTTTTATCGCGTTTTTTTGTATTGTGCAAATATTTATTCAATTCGAATTGATATTGAACAGCGTTTGGAATGTGTGCACGATAAAAATTTAACATACCGAGAAAACGGCGTAGTTGATCGACTGTCTCGGGTTTCGGGAAATTTACAATAGCCTGTACTTTATCTTGAAGTGGTCGCGCACCCTCCGTAGACACTTCAAATCCTAAAAACTCAAGTGTTGACTGACCAAAAACACATTTAGATAGATTAATAGTTATTCCATATTTATCAAATCTTTCGAAAACTGCCTTTAAATGCTCTTTGTGTTGACTTTCATTTTCGCTCGCGATAATAAGATCATCGATATAACTGAATAAAAAGTCTAACCCTTGTAGTACTACGGTATCCATGAAACGTTGGAATGTTTGAGCTGCGTTACGTAATCCGAAGATCATGCGCGGAAATTCAAACAGTCCAAAGGGCGTTATAATGGCAGTTTTTTCAATATCCTCCGGGGCAACCGGTACGAAATGATAAGAACGAATTAAATCTAACCGCGTAAAAATAGTTTTATTTCCCGCTAATAAATATTTAAAATCATGCAGTCTCGGAATCGGATAGCGATCCGGTTTTGTTATGGCATTTAATTTTCTGTAATCACCGCAAGGCCGAATATCACCATTTTTCTTTGGTACCACATGTAATGGACTGGCCCATTCGCTTTTAGATGGCCTACAAATGCCTAATTCCAACATGTGGCTAAACTCCTCCTTAACTTTCCTATAACGGTCAGGCGGGAGAGGTCTGGCTTTAGCGTATACCGGTGGGCCCGTAGTTTCTATATAATGACACACAGAGTGTTTAGGTGTCTCTTTGTAAGATACTAATTTCGTTATGTCCGGGTAACAAAGCAATAAATCATGCCAATTACTATTACCTAAAACAGTTTTAATAGATAATTCACATTCGTTATGACTTACAACAGAGGCGAGAACATTTAAATGTGTAATTTGATCTACTAACTTGCGCGCGCTCATGTCGACTAACAGCTGATAATGGCTTAAAAAATCCGCTCCTATTATCGGCTGTTTAACATTCGCTACGATAAAATTCCATTTAAATGCTCTCCTTAAATTTAAATCTAAAATTAAAGTACGCATACCATAAGTTTTTATCTCGGTTCCGTTAGCTGCATATAGTTTGTATTTATCACTCGCACTGTAATCGGAAACGCACTTTTTCGATGCCGGAATAACCGAAACGTTCGCACCTGTGTCAATTAAGAATTTCAGTCCACTTTTTTTGTCTTTAACACATAGGCGGTTATTCGATAACCCGATACCAACCTCCGCCTCCGGCCGTATCGCACTTAGTTTTCCGCTGGCTCTTGTGGCTTGGGCTTCCGCCAATTACAGGGCTCAATGCACTTTACGGCCTTATCTCCGTACCGATAATGGTAGAAACAAAACCAATTAGGATTTCGTCGGTTTCTGGAATTCTCTCTCTCTCGACCTTGTGACGGTGCCCGACTGAATCTTTTTCCAGCACTGTAGTTCCTACCCCTGCACGGTCTACCACGATCCGCTTGCCGAGAGCGCCTTAACTCCGCCACTTCTATGCTGAGACGTGCTACCAACGCCGCCAGGTCGGATTGCTCCAAACATGTAATTTTTGACTCACGCTCTGAGGAGTTGCTGCTGGTTGATACTTCAGCTATATTGGAATGCCCAGTGGCCTCCATGACCTTATCAGCCACTACAGCCAGATTTGTTATATCTATCTCCTGTGTAACGGCCAACACAGCTTGCACTGGTGGTGGCAAGTGGCTATTCCACATGATTTGTAATGTCGCGTCTGGTATTTTCCCACGGGCTAGATCTTTCATGCGCCGTAAGAGCTGCGAAGGCTTTTGTCTGCCAAGCTCCATTTCGCCAAGAAGCTTCTGGAACTGCCTCGTCTCCGACTCCTCAAATACATGCAGTAGTCTATCTTTGAGGGTCTGGTACTTGTGCTCACTTGGTGGTGATAATAATAAATCGCTCACCTGTGTAATCGCAGCCTTACTTAATTTAGTAACCACTAAATTTTGTTTAGCGGCGTCCGATAGTTTCTGTGACTGGATGACAGCCTCAAATTGGACAAACCAGAGTCGCGGTTGGTCTGCCCAAAAATCAGGAACTCTCGATGAAATGGTGATGGAGTCCAAAGATGATGAAGTCTCTGGCTTAACTTCGGGGTTGTGTTCCGAAACACGCGCTTGAGAACTTTCATTTTGTGGATTCATTGTTTATACTGCACTTTTTAATAAAAAAATAAAAGTGATATAAATGTTAATTAAATAAAATGTTCAAAACAACTAAAAACGTAATGTTCATAACACCGGTCACCACTTTAGGGTATTAAGTGTCGGACCCTATTTATGTTATCAGAAGGTTAAATAAGAAAACACGTTCACTCTGTAACTCCGTATATTAGCGACTAGTTAAAAAGTCTTTGTTCTACAGACGCTAACAAATTGTTTATATTAACTAAACTGTACATGTACATGTAGGCATATGTGTCCCTACATTCATTATTTAAAGAATGTATAATTAAAAAAGGTAGACCTAAATGTACTTATTCTTTCTGAAATTTTCTTTATCAAATCTCATTGTGTAAACATCTTTAGGATATTAATTTAGTACTACACAGTTGTTACTTATTATTCATATATGTATATTTGATTAACGTCTGTTGTGTTACCAAATTTCATCCTTCAGAGTTGTAAAATGATAAAAAGTCAATACGTGTAATGTTACCTTTTGTTCTTAACTTCGTCTTTTATTAATCACAAATTTTATTTAATGCAATGGTTCCGTCGTATCTTCTGTCCTTAATCTGTCAGAGTATATTTACTTTCGGAATTACGGCGTCTCTTCAGCGAACTTTGGAAACATAAGGGTTCATTCAACCATGAATTCCAATTCGTTGACACCTTTCTTAGTAAAAATATTTGTATTAAACACCTTTTATTAACAGTTTCGTCACGTTAATCCAACATGAATTTATGAACTTTAACATTTTATCGTCTTGCTTCATAACAACATTGCTGTTTATTTGCTTCAAGTTAGAAAATTTACTGCTTTAAAAATGTTCGAGAAGTGATTTAAACTAATATTGTTTAACTCGTACTAACTAACTCATGTTAGTTAGCTCTTAGGCGTCATCACCCAAGGGCCCATTCTATTGACAATTTCAAATCTTTCTTATAGTTTTTAATCGACTTCAAAATCCAATACGTTTACCGATATTTTCGCCAATTGTTAACCGAATTTCTAAGTTTTTTTTATTATTCGACAGCTTAATAGATCGATGTAAATTTTATTGGAATCGTATCAGTAGTTTTCCTATTATAAGAAAACAAAATATTCCTTTTCATCAGATATCTCTTAAAAATTTAGATGATATTATTTCGGTTAAAAAAACAAAAAAAAATGCGTATTTGCATTCATTCAAGATCCGAAAGGAGGATTTTCTATGTTCAACGAGTATGTATAGTTTACTCTTTGATGTATATTTTTTATAAAAGTAGGTTATGTTCATTGATTTCTATCAAACTAGCTGTTTCACCGCGTTTTTGTCTTCATAATAGCATAGGTCCAACGCGTATTATGTAACTTCCCGTAGATGAAAGACAATTATATATTGGTCTAATAGTTTCGGAGCCTATCCAATGCAAACAAACAAGCAATCAAATTTCGGTTTCGGAGAAAAAGAATAGGTTCAGGTGTCATGTTAATTCGTACCGAGTAATATATCTATTTTTAATGTAAGAGGCACTGATAGACACATTCATGAAAATATATATTGTATTCGATTAACAAAAATATAAAGACATGAACTTGTAATTGAACCGTAAAAACTTTTTAAAGTTACTTTTTTTCTTTTTATATGCCAACGAACTGTCATATCATACCAATCGCCTTGAAGTGTTGTCATTCTCTCAATTTTTAAATTGTTTTGTTATAAAATTTCTTTATCAATAAGTGATATACCAATATAAATAAAAATGTCTTCAGTGCCACATTTATTGAGTCACAATATCAAGGAATGCAACGCGAAAACGCGTTAAAATTACAACCTACAACGTCTCGTACGGTTTCCTCTTCATCGAAGGCTGCTCTCATATTACCCGAGGACGAGGAATCTTTCTATACAGCCAGCTTGCAGTTTCTTGAAAAACGGCTACAAGAGAAGACGCATAATTCGACTCCCAAATCAAATAATATATCACTCTGTTGTAGCAATTTATTAAAGACAGGAACACAAGAAAGTAAAGGGGATACAATACAGAAAAACTTTGATGAATTACCATCAGGTTCACCGCTGTCTATACATCAGCTGTTGCCATTCCCAAAAACCTCGAAAGAAAGTTTCTTTAGCCGTTTGAAGAATACGTTTAGAAAGTATCAACGGAATTTCTCGATGGCAGAATCGAACACTGCCGAAGAACTCGAAGTTTCAAAATCCATTTCGGATTTCAAGTTACCGGTATATGTGAAAACACGTTGTGTCCAGTCTTCTTGCTTGGTACAGATAAAAGAAGAAAATTCTAAAGAATATTTAAACACTCTGAAGATAAGAGATAGCTGTACTTCTAGCAGAAATTGTGATATTATAGAGAACACAGTCAAATCCTTTATTACTAGATGACTAATTTAATCAATGGAAAAAGTTCCGCAACGAAATATGTTTCTTCCTTTTTTTTAAGATACATATTAACAGTATTTTAGTTATTTGCCTTATTTGTTTTTTGATTAATATAGAAAAATGATCTAGCAACTTTTGTCTAAGATGTATATTTTATTTACATACTAGAACGTTTAATTTACATTTCAATATTCCCTTTGATCTTTTGTAATAAATGTAGGAACATAAAAGAGCAAAGATAAATAAAGAAAGTAAAGCGCGTAAGTGCGAATCGGACTCATTAAAATTGCCATAGTAGTAGTAAGCAAAAAAAAATACAAACAGGAAAGATTAAATTATTGCATAGCATTGAGTAGTCTTCAAAACTAAAAAAAAAATTAATAGGGCTTAAAGGCTATATTTATGCGGGCTATGTCGTGGAAAAAGAGCTAGTGAAATGACATCTGTTCATAATCTCAAAAAGTGCTTTGACATTTTTCGTTTAAACTAATTTTGTTTGTTAGTGCTAATCAGAGATGTACAAAATACCCTGTACAAAGTATCTGGAATACAAGATACTAAATACTTTTAAATTAAGTATTTCAGATACCAGATACGAAATACTTTCGAGAAAAGTATTTGAAATACTAGATACAAAATAGGTATCTTATAGATACTTTTTATAAATACAAATACTTTTCTAAAAAAAGATTTGAATTTAAGTTTGTTTATTAAAGACCACAAAAACCTAAATCTTAGACCAGATGGTTCCAGGGACAAAGTGGATTTTTTAAGCATTTTTCATTAGAAACAATTTTTGTAAGCTTTTATTTAGTTTTCTGTGTTTGTACTCAAATCTTACAAGCTAAATTTCACCCACTTTTCCTCCGTTTTATTTGTTTGTCAATCACAATGTAACATATAAACATGCAAATATTTAATACATCAGGTTTAAATTATTTAAAATTTTTTAGTTCCTTTTTAATAATATTTTTTATCAATATAGCATTGTGAATGAAAAATTGCTGAAATATAACAACAAGAATAATTATTTAAATTTAATTATAAAATTATTATTTATTTAAAAAGCTGGTTTACGTACGACGTAAAATTACGGAGAACTGAAAATTCATTTTTTCCTAGTGAGATGAAGAGAGTGGGTAAAAATAAATACAATACTTGGTTTTTAAAATTAATGGCGTGACTTGTGACGAGGTGAATGTGCGATAGTATGTAACGGAACGTATATTAACTTTTTTTGCAGAACTACCGAAAATTATGCCCCTTTAGTGTGTTAAGCTAATTTGAAAATTTTTAGTAGAAAATACTTAGCTTCTGTGGTTGATTATAGTACGTTGGTTTGTAGGAAAGGCTTATAATACGTAGATGTACCTAAAAAGACGTAGAGTTGGTATTGCTGGTACTGTTGGTAATGCGCCATTAGTTACCATCTGGTCGGATAAATCCGGTCTCAACCGGATTTGAAGTATTAATTAAGTCTTTATCTATGAAATTTCCGTTTTTAATAAAATAAATGAAGCTTTATTTTCTTATTTCTATTAATCAAAGTAATCACCCATGCAATCAATACATCTTTGCCAACGCATTGGTAGCTTAATGATGCCTTCTTGAAGAAATCAGCTGGACGGGAGGCAACAAATACTTCAAAGGCATTTTGTACTGCCTCTCGGGAATTTATTTTTCTCCGGCTAAGACGTTATCCAAATTCTGGAAGAATTAGAAGTCTGTAGGCGCATGGTCTGTTAAGTACGGCGGATGACGGAGAACTTCAAACCCCAGCTCTTGTAGCTTGGGTACCGCCAATTGTGTAGTATGAGGTCGTACGTGGTCGTGCAGGAGCAGTGGAACCGAACGATTGACAAAACCTGGTTGGAGTTGTGCCAGCTTCTCCGTCATTGTGTTCAGTTCTTCACAATACACACAGTAAATCTGCAGTAATGCTCGTCCTCCTGGGTAAGAAGCTGTGATGAAATACATCCGCGTTAGACCACCAAACAGCAACCTTTTCGTAAACCAATAACGGGTGTGCGTTAAATGACACCAAACAATGTTTGGATTCGAGTTATTTTTAACTAAATATTCATTGCGTTGATAATTGAACACTTTCTTTTTGTAAATATGTATGTTTTAGGCAAATAATGTTTTGTGATATTTATAAAATGTAAGAAATAATCTTTTTATAAAGTATTTTATCAGAAAAAGTATTTAAAAGATACTAAGATACTAATCAAAAGTATTTAAATACAAGATACAAAATACTTCCTAAAAAAAGTATTTTAGATACAAGATGAAAATACGTATTTTGTATCTTGTATCTGTATTTCAAATACTTGTATCTAAGATAAGTCACATCTTTGGTGCTAATGAACACTTACAAACAAAATTGGATTGGGTTTACAGCATATTTTTAGGTTTTTCACTAGAGTTCGGTTGTTCTAGGTAAATTAATATATATACTAGGTGTACCTATCCTTAGTGTTATATAATACTCGAGCCAAATACCTAATCCACCTAATGTTTTTAAGCTGTTGCAGTTGCCTTTACTCCATTCTGTTAAAGTCAGATATTATTATGGAGAAAAATACTAAATGGGAATGACACGTACATGCTAATAAGGTCTCTGATATATCATAGGGCTGAAAATCGTGTGATTTTTAGAGATAATAAGTGGATCTATTATTTTGTCTAGTATTGTAATATACTTTCTTGTAGATATGCCTCACCTCAACTAGTATTAGTAGTACAACATAATAAGTGGTAAAATTGGATTAGTAGATTTATACTACTAACTAGTCAATTTATTATAGACATACACCAATTTTTGTATACTTACACCTAATTATGAAATCTGACACGTGCATGGCCTCTAACTCTCTAAAAAATCTATTGAGATACTAGATAAATTAATGAGAAAATTAAAACAGATGCGGCCTAGTATTGTAATATAACTAGTAGAACCTCTACTTTTCAGTATCATCGTTCTTTCGCTATGCCGGGTTTCATCTACTTTGTGTGAGGCCTTATAATCTGTTTGTTATGTCTAATATCCACAGATTCTTCAAATTTCAGTTTTTTAATATATTAGTTAAATGGCTATCGTTGGTCCATTTCTTATCATGTAAAAATCAACTTTTGTTTGCTAGGGTTGCTATCTAGTGGAGGTTTTTTTAGTGCTTTCTTTTTTTTAAATACTTCACATGTTGTCACAAAACCGTCGGATTCGTGAAAACGCTTTCATTACGAGTAGGTATATATCTTATCAAATGTACCAAGCTGTGGACGACTTGTTAGCTTTTCCAATGCACGACCCACTATTTATTTTTATTTTGAGAAGGTTTTTCGTATATTTACCGACTAAAAAAATGGAGGTACGCACTTTAGAACGTGTTGTATGCATTGTCTGCGATTATCTCGCGTTTGGATGAACAGTTTTTGAGGCAGTTTTCAGAAAAGTATTTATAGTGTTACTTATTATATAAAAAATATCAGTATTACTAAAAAGCATGATATAAAAAAATCGTCTTTAAACTTAAAAAAAAAGTGAAAAATAATACTTATCTCAAAAGCGACTTATTCAAGTAAATGCTATTGAATTTGGGCGCCTATCATTAAATTAACAACCTACAGAAAATTTCCTCCCGACTTTAATAGCATTTTTTGAATAAGTTGCTTTTGAGTAATTTTCGCTTTTTTTAAAGTTTGAAGTAGGTATTCTTTTTTTTAAGTTTTTATTTTTACCTCTATAAGCAACAATACCCTCACAATTTCGTAAATGATTATGTCTATAAAAATAACAAGCTCATTCGCTTACATATACCATATTGTGAACATAAATCTAGAAAATTAATGTTACATCTCAACAAAACTTTCGAGAGGAACGTCGGGCGCCCGTCGCAACAGAAGCCATAAATTCCCCTCCAGAGTTGGCTACGTTTGTCGCTAGGGGGCGCGACTGAAGTTAAAAGATAAGGTTTCGCGTCTCAGTGTCAACCTAAGGGGTCAACCGCCTTTTCACTAGGCCGATGATGTCAAAATATCTATTCTCGTTTCGTATTTAAAATATAAAACGGGAATACAAGTTACGCAAAATAACTATTTGGGTAATGCATTGTTTCAATAGAAATTTATATTTTTGTCATATTAGAGTTGAACATACTCACGGGCGTTATATAGATAATTAATTAGATAAACATATCTATCAATCTCGGCCCTTTTTACGCCACATGTAAGGAGCTCAGGCCTTTCTTATTGATAGTTAAGGAGATAAATAAAAAAGTTTAATAGTTCCGAATAGAAAATCTTTTAGCTCTTATAATATAACTCAGTTTAACTAAACCTGTACGCAACAGACTTATTAGATATTTAATCTTAAACTAGTAATTGTATATACTGTTTATTATTTGAGTAGGTAACAAATAAAATAAAAGTCGAGTTATATGTACGAACAGTATATTAATGGACCTAAATTATTATATGTACTAATATAAAGCAATTTCAATCGTTAAACAGTATTTAGTTTTGTATGCTGTTATAAACTGAAATACAAATTAAGTAACATTTATAATTAGGTACTTGAACTTCCGATTAATAACTAAACTTAATATAAGTAGGTAAAATATGTTTCGACATAGATATCCTATTTACCTAATATAATAATTATTAATAAGGCCGCCCGCTCACATCAGACTTTAACTTACTTATTTACAATGTATAATATCAGAACTAGCTAAACAATTAAGACAAATTGAACCAGAGCTCTATCAAAACCAAGAGTCTGGTGCAATAATATCCATATTTATTGTCAATATCAATAGAAATCACAATAGAGTTGGTAAATTATTATTACGAATGCTAAAATTATACTTTAGCAACTACATTTTTTATTCGTTTAAACGAATTTAATTTTGTTATCACAGGTTTTTGACGAATTATTTATAAACTAATTAGAACTAGCTTAACTTTACTGATATAAATATTGTTCACTTCTTTATCAATTATTAAGGTTATGAGTGACTCATAATTAAATGTAAAAATAAGACTTAGAAGATAATGTAGTCTGTTTCAAATAGAAAGTTGTAAATTTGTCGTTGCCATAAAATTGAGCACTTAGAAGTAATGAAATAGATTTCCCTTTTTAATGATGTTTTTTTTATTTTTATTAAGTATCATGTATTATTTTTCCCATCCTCCTATTTGAAACAGTTTATTTCATATGACCATCTTTTAGTACAAATATTCAAAAGTTTCGAATTATTTAATTATTCTAGCTTAGTAGCAATTCTAATTCTTAGTTTAGTAATTTCATGAAAGTCTAATGCCTTCTTCTTTTAATTTTCTCACTACTTCAGGGCATATTTCATCTTCGCGGAACTTGTATCCGCTGGATAAAAGTTCCTTAGCCACTCGAAAGTTTTTTCTTAAGGATTCCAACCATATCGTGTAAGAATAATCTGGCCAGATGCCTCCGTACCTCTCAGGTAAATGATCTGGATGTATATGTTTGTGTAGAGATGTGCTGTCGTATCCATGAAAGTAAATCTTGGACTGCATATCGGCACTTAGCAACGGCTTGAAGATACTGTACAGCTTATCAAAGAGCCAGGAGTGGTTGATGATGTGGATAGCATGTGTGATGGCCGGAAAAGAGGACTGAAATGAAAAACAAATATTTCGAGGAAAAACTTCAATTACATTTTAAATAAAAAAAGCAGAAATAGAACTGCAATGTCTTTTCCGGCACCGCTCTGTAATACTTTGTGAGATACCTAAATTAAGGATAAACGATTGTCCAAGTGATGTTTAGACATTGTACCTACTAATATACATACATGCTGGATAACTTAATTAGTATTTATGTAAGTAGTTTATAAGAACCCGTTGTTACGACAATCAACTCTTGTATAAATAAAACACAGGCAAATAATTATTTGGTAGCAGACCCTGTATCATGTAGGGCTTCTGTACAACGTGAAGAATACAGATTCAAATATATAACATCAAAGAAATGACTGTTGCGAGTGATCTGTTGCGAAAAGCCTAAATAATACTTTTATAAATTATTTAAATCTTTCTGCTAGCTTTCATAATTGTCTGCAGACGAACTAACCATTTACGATAAAATTTTATGCTTATTACTGTTACTTATGTAATCTTACCACCAATAATTTCACCATCCTAGCCGCGACTGTGGGTGTAGTTTGCCAAGCATGTTGCGTACCAAGATCTTCTAGGTCAAATATCGCTATTCCACCCATGATCTGTGTTCGTTGCTCCACCAAGCCCAACTCCAGTGCCATGATAGTACCTTTAAATAGGTCTTCTACCGGTATAGATTTTGGATCCCAACAACCTGAAACATGACATTTTAAATTTAGATATATCTTCCGAAAAATATGTTGTTTAAAAGTGATAAATAATAATAACATAATTACAAATCATAATAAACCACTGAGTACCCAAAATCAAAGTAAAATAATCTTTAATCAAATAGGCCTACCACTGGTTCAGGACGTCCTTTGTCTTTGAAGAACGAGCAAGAAACTCACCAGCTCTAATAAAATTGTAAAGAAATTTCGCTCGACGACAAATAGAATAGGACCTCCCAATCGGATAATCCCAATAAGTTAAGCCAACACAAGCCAATCAAGATAAAAAGGAAGGGATTACTTACCGATCCTGAATAATATAATCCGACGTCCATCTTGATCCCGATACGGCGGCACAGCGATGACATTGGCGTCGCCGATCGTCCGCAAATCCAACGGGTATACATTTTCGAAGAGCTCAGAATTCTCTTCCTTGAATTGATAATAGTTAACCATCTGAAACACACATACAATCGGTTTTAGTAATACAGTAGAAGCTCCTTATTCACGGCTTCATTATTCGCAGATGAAAAATTTGTAACCGAACTTCTGTACTCGCAGCTAAAATCTGTGTATTCGCGGATGAAATCGGTAATCAACGTCGTTTATTATATGTGTATATACGCATTGTCATCTTTTAAATACTTCAGGCATATGTCAGGGTGGCTTTAACAACGCCTTATAATTTGTGCTTCGTTATATTAAATTAAAAAATGTTATATTATGAACTTAGTTATGAATCTAAAATTAAAGATCTTTAAATACTGGATATAAAGATAATTGATAAAATTAAAAAAAAACTTATTTAAAGCTGACAATAAAGATTGAATTTAATTGGTACTTCTTCAATAATCTTACCTCAATTGTATTTATTTTGACATACATATTGCTTATACATATTTAGGAACTTTTGAACGTATCCCCTATTATTCTATATTAAATGCCATCTCGTATTCACGTTTTCTCTATACGCGGAATATTTAGTAGATAATATAGTAAATATAGCATTGATAATAAAATCAAATGTGTGTAATAATAACTAATATTTTATTATTTGCAATTCTATAATCTCCATGCTTTACCCAAGCAATTTGGGTAAGTATATTAGAATTACTGAAAGAAAGTAATTCGGTTTCATAAAGAAATAATATTTATAATTTTGTTTGTTTGAAGGGAGGGAAGGAAGGGAATTAATATATATTATTATAATATAATTATTTTGAACTATTAGTGCATATAAATATTTTTTGCGTTATTGTCACGTCATTATTTTTGTTACAATATTCGAACGAGTTTATTTTGTAAGAGTCTTCATTTTTGCATTCACGATGTACTTGACCTTTATAGAACAATGATACAAAAGAAGTGCTTCGGTACATATGACATATACACACGCCCTCACTTACATTGATACCCGGCTTTAATGTACAGGTAGAACCCAGTGGGAGGAGACATTTGCCTTGATAAAAAGAACCTTCTAGCGACAGTATACTAAGACGCTCTTCTTATGTAAGTGACATAAGATAAGGAATTTTAAAATATAGGACCTTCTTGCATAAGGTAGATATGCATGTCATAACTCGTACAAATTAACATGACACCCGAGGGTCTATTCTATTAGTCCGGCGAATAGAATAGGCCCTCTGAGTATTGTTGAAAAGTCTCACTCTTAAAATTAAATAATAAAATCGCTGATAAACGAAGTCTTTGGTCCAGGTTTTTTCGGGAGAGTTCGTGATTGACTGGTCAATGTCTTATCGGTCAAAAACTTAAAAAATGAAGTTATGTCGATTACCATTTATTTTATATAGCTCTCAATAAAAAAAAAATCAACGTCTTATGTATAATATTTATTGCTGAGATTCCAACAGCCAGTAGCACAAAGGTCCATTAAAATTTACATTAGTTTAAAGCGACATTACAAACACAAATTTGACATTAATTAGAGCTTAAAGGCGTCATTAAACCTCAATGGACGATTGTGCAACTGGCCGCAAGAGGAGTATAAAGCCCTCGTATTATGGAGGGTTTGTAAAAAATGAAGTTAACACAAAAAAAGAACCCAGACAGAATGCAACCGGTGTTGATTATTAAAGCCTGTTGAATGTATGTGTGTGTGTGTGTGAAGTAACTATAATAAAATATTAAGAAAATAGTATTTAGTAATCAGTTTAAATATGTAATGTTATCTAGAAAATACACCGATCTCTCCATCTTTCAGTGCGTTTAACAGTGACCGGTTTCCAAGGTCGCCTACGTCAGAAGAAGGTCAAGGTAGAGTAGTTATTTATTTTAAAACCCATTCCTAACCATTTATTTTATTGAAAAATACTTAAAACAATAACACAACTGCCCCAGACGCTCGATTATCACATTGATTTCTATTTCTTTTTATTGTTGAGAAATTAATTATTTTTTATTTTTCTATCTATTTGAGCTTTATAGCATTTCGAAAAGTTGCAAAGAAATACTCGTACATCTTTGTCAATTTTCATCTCCAATCACGATTTTTCTTTAGCAAGTTTTCTTTATATACATAATAACGAGATATAAATCAAATAATAGCATACATTAAGGTAGACGATCCGGCTTCGCACATTTTTTATTATGACATGGTTTTGGCTATTTTATAAGTTACAAGGAAGAGAACTTTGACAAAATAAAGCTATCAACGTTATAAGTTTCGCCACAATTCAAAATGTTGAAAATAATATATTTGTTAATTATAACGCCTTAAAGTTCCAAATGGCAAAAACCGGGTCTTCTTCACTATGATGATAAGCATTCCATAAATAAATCAGATAGATGACATAACAAAGATTCATTTTGCAACTCACCAGCCGATGTGCCCGTTGTGGTATGAAATTGCGTGCACGCAGGAATCTTATCAAGAATTCGTCATCCATTCGATGAGGGGTACATTCACCGCGCTCTGAAACGTTATAAATATTTCCTTTAAATATTGCAAATGATGTTAAAGTCAATGTTTAGTGAATGCTCTTTATAGACACAGTGATTTCAGGGATTAGGTACCCTCAGATGTTAATAACCTTTCAAATTCAGCTCTCGTTATAATGCTTATACAGATTGCAAATATTTTGGTAAATTCACATTCGATTGCTCATAGGTTGGGTAAATAAATCATACGTATTAGTTGCTCGAGACTGGATGCAATACCGTGAACTCGGTTGGTTGATCTACAAATTGAGCTATCAGATTTTAACGAGACTGACGAATTTCTCAAAACGCACATGGCAACCAACTTCGTTGTTGCGGACAAAGAAGGTTTAAATCCCTTTTTCAATGTTTGCTGTATTTAAAAAATATTTGTCAATTCTAAAAGTTACCGAGCTAGTCAAGCTAGTCATTTTATTTTTACTTATGTATTTATCTAGCAATTTAATTTCAAATGCTTTCAAAAATGTTAGGTTTTCCTTTTCATAAGTACTAATTGTTTTCCAGCGTAAATTATAGTAAATGATAGCTAGCTTCCTTTAGGTGAAAAAAAATCACGATCGAATCAGTATTTCCTATGATTATACCCTCGCACAAATATACAAGCAAATAAAATAAGAAATTACTCTTTAGAATATTAATAAAGAATTGTTTGTTTATATCAATCGCTCTTTAATATTGTTCTACAACATAATGATCACAGATGAATAGATATCCTAAGCGTCAGAAATAGAGTATCTTTATTGTCTGTCTGTCAAAACCCTTTATTTAGGGAGCGCGCGGAGAACTCTATATAGTCCTTTGAGGTTGAGAAAAATTAAAATGAATACTAATTTATACGTGTGTATGCAATATTTTGTTGCATATTGATTCAGTAATCCGATTATTATTTCAATAAGAATTTCTTAACGTTCGGAAAATTACTATGGAATGGAGCTTAGGTATTTACAGTGACGAAATCAGACAGTAGACTAATGACTGAGAATGTCTGAGTGCTCTGTCATTCCGTTTTAACAAAAGACAATAGTGGTAATTCACAGGAAGTAGCAAAAGCACATCAATCCATTTTTTATGGACATATTGCATTTCTGAGATTATTATAATAACCTATTTAAAGACCTGAAGTGATTGAAATGCATAGTCTTTGTCATACAATATCATTACAAGAATTATTCACGTGATGAAATTCATATAGCAAATTATATTTACACAAATCTATCATCAATCTACGGGTGCAATAAAGATATATACAGCAGTAATTTTATTAAAGTTAAAAAAGTAAAAGATGGGAATAATCTTATTAAAGTTTCTGTACTGGTCACAAATTTTTATTATATTCTGAAGTAACCTTAATTTGAACGTGTTCAAAATAAACGAAACCTGTTACATTTTCTCAAAAACTTTTTTATCCGTTTTAAGATATTTTGTAGTATACCTGATCATAAAGTAACATCTCAGTTAAGGGACCACAGAACTTTCATATTATACGCATTGAATTCACAAGTAATGAGCTTGGAAATATAATATTTAGAAAAAGTCATATTACCCGTATGTATATAGGTATGACTTATTAATTTATAATAATATTATAGAGAGCTAAAGTATCTAACTTTATTTGTTTGCTTGTAGGTGGTAATCTTCGAAAATACTGATTCGATCATGAAAATTCGTTCTTCTGCTACATCATAAGTAAGCAGTGCCATAGGTTATAATTTGCGCAAGCGAAATCGCGGTAAAACAGCTTGTATTTTTTTAGCTTGTATCGTTATTTGTGTACGGTTAAAACAAACGGAATCCCTCTTTTTCCTTTACAATGTAGTAGTGAAATTTACAAATTAAACTCAAATAAATCGATGTTTCTCCCGCAGTTCTACGTCGTGACTCGTGTTGCACGATCTTTGTAAACATTATTAATGTTAGATATCTTGTTATATCATTAGGTTTCCAAGAATTGAATTTCTTGAAGGAAGGAGTAAGCCCAATAAGGCCCGCTGTTTTACGTGCTTTTATTTAGTTTCACCTGTCCGATGTTTGTCTTTCTGTAAACAAATCCTGCAAGCAAAATTTCATCCACTTCCGAATCTCCATTTGAGCTGAATATACCTTTAGTTTTGATTAATAACTACCTAGTCTAGCCATACATTCCAACAGGATTCAGCCACGGTTCATAAGGCTTCATCTTCATTCCAAACTTCATAAAAGCTGATGATTGGTCTTCGGCTAGTCCGGACTTAAGCCCATTGGACTATAAATTGTGGTCTGTGCTAGAGCACATGGTCTGCTCTAAGCGTCACCCAAATATTGAGTCGCTCAAGAAATCTTTGGAGGCAGCAGTGACCAAGTTTCCAATGAATCCATCGAGGAATGGCCGGACCGTTTAAAAGCGTGCGTTAAAAGCTAAGGGTGGAAACTTCGAATAAATATCAACTTCAATTCAACTTCGAATAATAAGTTTAGAACGTTAAAATTTGTCTTTCACTATACATAATCACATATAAAACTTTAAAATAAAATTAGTTTTTTAGAAATTATCGGATATTTTCTTTGTAACTGACTAGGTATTATATAATCGGTATTATTATTAATCCAAAATGGTCATCGTAACAAAATGGCGGCGTATATATTTCAAATCAACTCGCCCGATGTCAAATGAAAGGACTTGTAGAATACAATATAACAAATTATAGCTTATTTAAAATAAATACTTTTGTTTTTTGCGATTGCAGTGCTATCGTCACAATTACAACACCGCATCGACTGATAAAGAGAAATATGAATCTAAGTCTATTCCAGTAAGATCAGCGTAACAGCGGGCCTTATTAGACGATAGTACCTAATATTATCCCAGACTCGATGAGCGGTCTGATAAATGGGAACAGTGAATTTTTATATTATTGATTCGCGTCTGGTCGATATTTTTTTGTTTCAGGTTTCTATAAGATTCAAGTGCTTTCACCGTTATCGGCCCTCTTTACGTCCTTACTGCGGGGCTCCAAAGAGAGATGGTTAAGGAGGATGGGCCGTGACTCTCCACGCTGGCCAGTTACGGTTTGGAGGGTATTAACGACTGCAATTGCAGCTAGGACCAACGTCTTAACGTGCCTTCTTAAGCACCCATCCCAAGCTCTGCTAAAGTTGCTTGGCAACAACGATCGCGGGCGGCGGCTCTTATCCATTACGCCACAAAGCTACCAAGTGCATTAGCTACTGATAATATTCGTCCATAGGCTTCACCTATATCATACTCATTGACCTTTATCATATTCATAGTATTAATATCATGCTGATGAATTTCAAATGAAACCAGCTAGTCCGATTGTTTAGCGACCTGTCAAAGATTGCACGTTACCTACATATAATTAATTGGTCGTATGTATATATTGCATAGCCTAAAATAGCAAAGAAAGCTCAAAAAGTAAAAATTACAATTCAAATCAAATCAAATCAAAATTATTTATTCAGTTTAGGCTGTTACAAGCATTTGTGAAAGTCGAGAGCTACGCCATCGGTTCGTAAATCTACGGCGGGAGAAATTGTACCGAGAAGAACCGGCAAGAAACTCGGCAAGGGCTGCTTTTTTCTCCCTGTTTTATTTCATACAGAGCGTCAAGATTGAAAAATGACTTCATTAAAATTTGAAGTCACTTTCCATTACAATATTAGAGTAAAACAGTATTTTCGTCAATCCAATCACATTTGTAGCCAAAGAAGCTCACCGATTAACAATTTAATATATATGAAAAATGAGCCATATTTAACTCCAAGCAGTTTTGTCGTTTAAATATTCATTAACAGTATAATATCCTTTACTGAGTAGATAATTCTTAATATGGGTTTTAAACTTAGGTAATGGTAAATTTAAAATTTCCATAGGATTTTTGTTATAGTAGTGTACACCTTGACCCATAATTACTAAAAATAAACCTGTTAATGGAGAACAAGCATATTATAAAAAATAATAATAATGGATATTCATATTAATCATTATATATTAAAGTGTAAACACTTAAAAAATAGCTTTGATTACTGTTTAATTTTAAAAATGTGAAAAATATAGCAATCATCAATATTCTATTCACGTCTTTACTTTTCATTCGCAATCGCTAAGTATTTTTTATGGAAATCGAAGACTTATTTTAATACATATATCTATACTTTATACTTATAAAATAGCTTTATTATTTTGATTAGGGTTTCGTATCCGAAGGGTGTGGGAGTCTATCAATATGTCTGTCTATTATCCTTCGAGCTGTAGGTAGACATTTGTCAGATTTTTATCGCGATTGTTAATTAAAATATTAGATTATTATACAAGGATTATTTAGAGCCGTGTGTTAAACATAATAATTGTCACCAATTCAATGTGATTAGAGAAAAATTCTGGAAATTTAGCACCATGCAATTTTTTTTTATAAGTATAGTTACACACTTTGTTACAAAGGTTCAATACTCCAAAGAGAAGTGTTCTATTAATAGTTCTATAACTGATATAACGCAAGTAATGCTCCACTGAGAGATTATATAATACCCAGCATGAAAGTAAAACTTATGCAGAATAGATCACATAAGACTAAAAAATTAAAAAAGTTAAAACTAGTACGTATTTACAAGACGGTTCATACATTCAAGAAATTTCTATCAAAGGCGGACGATTATTATCAATAAATCTATACAAGATTCGCATTTGGGTTTACTTTCGCGCCGGTCACTGACCCAGTCTCCCCTAAACTGTCCCCTGTATCAACAGTTTGAGACAAGGTACGCTTGAGATAGGGTACAGTAAAGAGAACGCTTGTAATTTATAAAATATTAGCGCTGTAAAAAGAGTTCCAAGGTAATAGAGGTGTGAAATGTTTGTCTGGACTTGCCTTGTCTCAATTCTAAGCGTTGTTTCAACCGTACCCCGTCTCCGCCTCTAAATACAAATATGCACTAACCATATATTAGGTCTCTCAGCTCGGACACCGCCTGCAGACGAGTACCAGGCTCCTCGCCGCAGTGCTTGTGTGCATACTCCAGAAGCTGTGGCGGAGGTTCCCCCAGTTCCAACTCCACACTGTACACTGGTATCGGCATCTTAACTGCTAATAAATATAAATACATACTTTAAAAGATCAGAAAACTTGAAATTTTATGCAGAAGAGTGTGAGAACGAGAGCCCTGAGTACCCGGAGAGTATTTAAAAGAGGCCTTAGAGTAGTTCTTTTTCAAAAAAAGCAATAGTTTTGCTCAGCTCAGTTTTACAGAGAGTTCAGCACAAATATTAAATTTAAAACACTACTGATAGGTTGTCCTGTAACCTATAAATAGATTTATAATAATTTTCTTTTATTTGTTCAAAGTGTAGAATTGTTAGAAAGTGTATCTTACAAGAAACCCTGCTCTATCGCAAATTCAATTAAATTTTAAACCTTGTACAGTCTTTGAGTTACCAAATTTCACTTCAATCAGTCCAGAAGTATCGGAAAAACCATCTGCGACAGATGGACAAACAAACATCCAAGTGATCCTATAACGGTTACTTTCTACTTCTTTGATACGGAACCCTAAATACAACAATTTCTAAACCATGGACTAATAAATTATTATTTACTAATATAATTATGTCTATCTACCGACGAATAATGGTAACCTCATCTATGTAACACGTGGGTTTACAATACTTCGAGGAATACGATTATAGGGTACTTTATTCTAACAACGCGTCCTTGTAAAATAATAAGTAACAAATCCAAACGGTTCAAGACGGAATTCGTATAGAAGTTTCTTCTAAGAAGTTGAACAACAAATTCTAGTTAATAGTAAAAAAAACTTAAAGCAATAATATAGAATTTTAAATACAAAGTAATGAATGAGACTATTGTGTTTTCTAGACAAAGCCCAAAAACAAGGATAATTATAAACCATTAAATTTTATAAACAATAGGTTAGGCTTTGAATATTCCGAATGTTTTTTAGATATCCCTTGGTTAAAAATATTTTATTTAAAATATAAATTAATGAATTAAAATGTATTGTTTACTGTTCCATTGAGCTAAATAAAACTAAGCTTAGAATCTTAAATACATTGTTATTGTTTGTATTACGTGGGAGGGGCAAAGTACTTAAATACCTGTCTAGACTATTCGATAATTGTTTTTGTCTTCAATTTAAAAAAAATATAGTAAGAAAAAAAAACATCAATCATTCAGAATATATCTCATATTTTGATAACATATAATGCTCACGTTTAAAAGAGCGCGTGCACAAAAACATATTGGCTTTTGATTAGAATATAACGTCCAAATAAACTCTAATTGAAAATGAGAAAACAACATTATATATTTTCAGGTTTTGTCGTAGTCAAAACATTTATTTAATACACATTTTATTTATAAACTAGCTAGCTTTCTTCGCCCGTGTGGTCCTGTATTTTACATATAAACATTCCTCTTAAATTACTTTGTAATTAATGAAAACTGCTTTCACCTACAGACAACGGTAAGTGACTTTGTTTGATTAAGCAGCACTTTTATAATAATTATAACAGTTTGTCAATGATTAAATAAATTGATTTTACCACGCGATTCGCAATTCATTGTCCCTTTCTTCATCGGGGTACTTTTTTGCATTTACGCCCAAATTTAAGTATATTAGCGAAATACGGATTGGTATTCATATTGACTTCACTTTAATATAATTAAGTTTTTATATACCTATAGTTCACATTAAATTGTTAATTTGTTTATTATACTGTTTTTACTCATTCTTATCACATCAAGTTAAGATAAAATAATATCTTTAATATTAAATTTCGTATTTAGATTTATAAATAATTGATTACTATTTATGATAACAAGCATATTATAAAATAATTATTTAGGTACCTACATACCAACATGTTGGCACTTAAATAACATGATTATCTCATTAATAAGATATGTCTAGCAGGATCCCAATCCACCCACCACTGATTTATCGTGAAATCACAGAGATAATAATACCAAAATTGCCACGATGTTTTTATAGATGCAATAGAATCCTATGCAGTTCAAGTCAGAAGCGAGATTTTTTCAAATAAAAACTGCTTTTTTGTTGTTGATTAGAAACTTCTTTTGAAGCTTTGATAATGAATTCTATGTCATTTTTAAGTGATTTTTCTACAATAAAAATAAACCTCATTAATCCATGATTATAGAAAATATCACAGAAACTATTTAATCGTTTGTTTTGTTTGTTACCATTTAATCCTTAACTACTGGACGGATTTAAAAAATTATTAATTATTTAACCAAGTTCATTATTGGACATTTGCATCATATCATTTAAACACTTCCGACACCGGCAGACAATAAAAATAAAAATTGATTTTTAATTGGTCGTATTCACTTAGTATAAAAAGTTTATTGGTAGTTATAATTTTTCGTGTATACGTAATCATGTGCTCGTTTGCATTTACAAAATAAAACTCGCTTTTGTTATACAATCGTATCTCGATTGGGTCAACAACCGGTTCCACAGTTCGTTGCATCATTTTCAGCTATATTTGTTGAGTGTTATAATACATTGTTCATCATATCATGTTCCCATTGCAATTTGCAACTTTAACTCGTCTATAAAAGGACAGTGGTTAATTATTTATTATTGGTTTCACCAGTGATTTCTTTCGCGTTCATTCTGAATGTTGTGTTAATATTTTATGAATATAAATAACCTATGTCCTTTTCATAGGTGTGAAAATGAATCTGAACAGTCACCCGAATTGTGAAAGGTCATGGGTTCGAATACCATCTCAAAATGCCAGGATTTTTTCATTAAGAATATTTAATGCTTAAGTTCACGTAATAAGGTTTATTACAGGAAGTAGGTAATAAGTCGTATAATTCCCTACAAGTTACTGGGAATCCTCGCAAGCATACTATTTTATTTTATATTATATTAATTAATATGAAACAAGTCAAACTAGATTTTTATATTACACTTCTGATTTAAAAAATCGTATATTAAATAAAATCACTAGCAGCTTAAAAATCGCAGCTTTTCATATGTATGATATATATGATTTCATATATCCGATAAATATAAAATATCGGGTATTTTGATACGAGTATTTATTATAAATATCGGATTTTTGCAAACCCTGCAGAAAAACGATGCGGTCGCAATCGCTACCACATATCGGTAATCGCGATACATTTTGAAATTGAATTAACCTACAGTTTTCTTCGTATGGATCAAACAAGTATCAAATACAATCTTATGTCGTGGATCCTGGGAATCAGAACTACGGAGTAACGAGAACTATTTTAGTTTACGTGTATCTGAACAAATTAGATCTTGTTTTATTATAACGTGTCATAGAAGGACATGGGAGGGACACATGTCCCTTGACTCGCCCCATCGTGAGTTAGTGTACTTTTATTGTGCAAATGGGCGGTACGTCAATTTTTCAGCCAATCGACCTAATTTTTTTCGTATTTCAAAGACAAATTGTAAGTTAATACTCACAATTTACAAACCTTTTTATCACAAATATTTCCTGTTCTTAACTTTCGATGTTATGTTATGAAATTAGATAGAAAGATCGATTTATATGAATAACTAACTGTATTATATGAAAAATATAAAAGTGTTTGGGGTAACTGGAGTCGAAGGGTTCTCATAACCCCATTTTTTAAAAATTTTTTTTGTTTGTTATTTCAGATGTCTCGAAAACTGGACAGAATCACATTCCTACCTAAGAGTTAACGGTGATAAAATTTCTCTGATCTCTGATGAAGAATTTATTTAACAAGAATTTAAAATGACATATAGTTATTTACAAGAAAAAGATATTGCAAATCAGAATAACGAAATCCTCGCCTCGTAAGAAATTCAGTATTTTCTCCTGTTCGAGAACCAATTTTTTCTGATAAATTAATTCATATATCAAATGTTTTCTTTCAGAAAAATAGCTTATGAATATGCCGACCTATTGAAGATACGTTAACATTTTAACAAGGAAAGTAAAAAATCTGGAATACAGTAAATAAAATGTAGCATACAGATTGAAGAATTTTTGAAAAGAAATACATAGAATCATATTACCGCCGTATCTGGTTCTAATTACCTTGCACTCTTGGGCAATGAGAGCAGATGTTACTTTTACCACAAAATATTAGTTTTTTTTTGTTGGAAAGCAAACAAAGCAGGAATGGTATACATATGTACATGTACGTTTTTTGTTACATAGAACAAGTTTTATTTCGTCTCTATTAAATCTATCAGACGATAAAAATTATGCAGACAATCTAAGTAATGATCTAGGGTAACGTAACATTATACCTAACTATTTAAACGTCGTGTCATTGAATACACAAACATGAAGATTTCGACGATTTTATTGTATATATATATGTTAGGTGCACATATATATAACTCATAACTTAATTTTATTTTTTAAGAAAACTTTAAACGTTTAAAAATATAGGAAATTAATTATTAAAATCTACAATGGTTCAAAAAAAATTGAAGTTCTATGTTCGACTGCGATGTATATTTTTTTATGTATGTTCACAAATTCTGCCACCTATTGTTGACTTTGCAACTAATTTGATAATTTTCGATATCTTTTGACAGAACATCTTCTACATCTGGCATCTAGAGTAAGTTCTGGTTTTACATAAGTATCAACCCGTTTTTGTGTTATACAAATGTATGCATGAGCACTGATAGAAAATTTTCTAGAATTCAAGTAAAGACAACTTAGTAAGAATCAGTAATGGCAACATTTTCATTTCACCTTTATCGTGCATGTGAGTCTCTGTAAGTTGCGTATATCGTAAACCTGGCAATATAACCAGTATAAGTGTTGCGTGCTTGTCGGTAATTGGAAAAATATAGTCTCCGTCTTCACTATTAGTTACGATCAGTGCATTTAATCGTTTTAAGGCAAGCTGGAAGGATAGCGGAGAAAGTCTAGTGAAATGCATAGAACCGGTACAGTTTACACTGTATATCTAACGCGGTAGTTAATAAGAGGTTGTTAATATAATATATAATGAAATTGAAAATTTTTATTATTTTAAAACGCTAATCGCTGGAATTGCTGATTGGATATGAAAAATGATTTTGTATTTAACAACCTGCATGTAAGAAAATAAACCTATAAATATATGTTTTATATAGACTATCAAACATTATAAAGAGACGATCAAACCATG